CGAATAAATGACGACCTTTAACTAACGTTAAAATGGTGACGTCGCTTAACGTACATATAGCAACGTCGACTAACGTCAAAAAGGCGACGTTGATTAACATCAATATAGCGACCTCGACTAACGTCAAAATGGCAACCTCACTTATAAATGGCGACCTTTAACTAACGTTAAAATGGTGACGTCGCTTAATGTACATATAGCAAAGTCGACTAACGTCAAAAAGGCGACGTCGACTAACGTAAATATGGTGACGCCATCTAACGTCAAAATGGCAACGTCATCTTACGTCACAATATCGACGTCAATTAACGTCAAAATGACGATGTTATCTAACATCAAAGTGGTGACGTCACCTAACGTACAAATGGCGACGTCGACTAACGTCAAAATGTCGACGTCTGCTAACGTCAATATGACGATGTCCACTGACGTCAATATGGTGACGTCAATTAACGTTCGACGTCGACCTGCGTCAAAATGGCGACGTAGATTTACGTCAATATGGCGACGTCGACTAACGTCAAAATGGTGACGTCAACTTACGTACATATAACGACGTCGACTAACGTCAAAATGGCAACGTCGACTTACGTCAAAATGGCGACATCGACTAAAGTCAATACGATGACGTCACCTAACGTTCGACTAACGTCAAAATGGCGATGTCAACTAACGTACATACAACGACGTCAACTAACGTACATTTAACGACGTGGACTGCCGTCAAAATGGCAACGTCGACTAACGTCAAAATGGCGACGTCGACTAAAGTCAATATGATGACGTCACCTAACGCACGACTAACGTCAAAATGGCGACGTCACCTAACACATATAACGACGTCAAGTAACGTACATATAACAACGTCGACTAACTCAACTAGGGTTAAAATGGTGACATCAACTAACGTACATATAACGACGTCGACTAACGTCAAAATAGCGAAGCCGATTAACGTCAAAATGGCGACGTCACCTACCGTATAAATGGCGACTTTAAACTAACGTCAAAAAGGCGACTTCCACTAACGTCAATATGACGACGTCCACTAACGTCAATATGGTGACGTCAACTAACGTCAATATAGCGATGTCAACTAATGTTCGACGTCGACCTGCGTCAAAATGGCTTCGATTAACGTCAATATTGCGACGTTAACTAACATACCTATAACGACGTCGACTAACGTCAAAATAGTGATATCACTTACCGCATAAATAGCACCTTCAACCAACGTCAAAATGGCGACGTCAACTAACGTACATATAACAACGTCGACTAACGTACATATAACAACGTCGACTACCGTCAAAATGGCAACGTCGACTAGCGTCAAAATAGCGACGTCATTTACCGCAGAAATGGCGACCTTCAACTAACGTTAAAATGGTGAAGTCGCTTAACGTACATATAGCAACTGTATAAATGGCGACCTTCACCTAGAGTTAAATTGGTGACATCGCTTAACGTACATATAGCAACGTCGATTAACGTCATAAAGGCGACGTCGACTAACGTCAATATGGTGACGTCATCTAACGTCAAATTGGCAACGTCATCTTACGTCACAATAGCGACGTCAACTAACGTCAAAATGACGACGTCACCTAAAGTACAAATAGCGAAGTCGACAA